CACAGTGGATGCTCACCTCCAGGCAACACTGGAGATGGCCCTGATCTCATTGATGGGTTCGGAGAGGGGCCTGGCCGGTGACAGGGTCCTGGGGTTTGGGAGGCTTGTGCCCAGGCCTGGGACACTCTAAAGGCCACTGGAGGGCTTGTGGTTGGAGCAGAGCTGAGCTGCCTGTCCAGCTATTTCTCCTTTGCTTGTTGACCTCTCCACTCTCCCACTGAGTTCCCTTCCCACTGAGGTGCTGCTGCTCAGTCTACCTTCCATTTCTTTCAACTACCTGCTCTGAGGTTTGGGTGAGAATTCCACAGTGCGGTCTTCAGATACCCAACTGTCTCCTCAAACTGTATGCACATGACAACACATCAATTGTGTTCACCTCAATCCTTCTGTTTTTCATTTCCAGGATTTTTATATTATTTCTTGTTCATATTTGCCTGTTCTTGTTTTGGTTCTGCCAATAATTCTCATTCTTGTTTATGGATACTACTCCTTTATCTCTTTGAAGATCCTAAATGTCTTTGAAAATCATTATTAGATTACTATATTATCTTCATCTCTTCTGGAATGAATTAATCTCCATATTTTGGCTGTGTTGCTTCTTTCTTACCCTTAATTTTCCTCCTGTGCTTTGAAGTTGTGGTTTGCAGGCTCATCTTAGTGGGAGCTGAGGTCTTGGAAGTGGGGAGTGACCTGCACACCTGGGTAGTAGCCAGCTCTCAGGACAGTCTCCTGGGACAACTCTGCCTTAAGGCCCCCCACTGTGGGCTCAGGGCCTGTTGGGGTCAGACTCAGCAGCAGGTGGCACAAAGCTCCCTGTGCTGTAGCAGCTGGGGGTACTTGGAAACATCTGCTGTGAGAAAGTAGTGGAGGATTCTCAGGCTGGGATTCTGGAGCCCAGGAACAGGCCCAGTGTGGCTGCAACAGGCCCAAGGCGCTAGGCTGGCCTTGGTACATTGCCCTTAGCTGCACTCAGGAGCAGGTGTGCAGGGTCCTGCTTGGAAGTTGGCGGGCACTTCTATCCACCAGGCTCTGCGGGGTACAGCCACCATGTGGGCACGTGTACAGAAAGCCTTGCTAGTCTGATGTACAAGGAGCAAGGAAATGTGCGGGTTTTGATTAAATGGAGTTTTAATTAAAGTGGCCAAGCTGGTGAGGGTAAGGAGAAAGGCGGGAAGCAGCAGCAGTTTCGAGTCTAACTGCTGGGGAATCCTGTGGGGTTGTCCTTTTGAGGCTTATCATGCACCTTCCCCAGCATGTAACTCTGATCTGTATGGGATGGCTTCTGCCCTCTGCCCTGTCCCCAATAAGGGACAATCACAAGGAAATATTACATTATTAATATTTCATTTCCCCTCTTGGCTAGCAACAGATGACTCAAGGATTAATTAGAGCCAACAGAGAGGAACAGGAAATTGCCAGATCCTGGCCCCGCCCCCAGCCCCCTCCCCCTGGGCCTCCAACCTTCCTGTCACTCTTGCTCTAGGAGGCCTCTGAAGGGAGGAAAGCAGAGAGGGGCCAGGAGGCCCTAGGAAATCTTCCTGCTGCTGTTTTTCATGGGCATTCCCCCAGCTCTGTTCCACCCTTTTATGCTCATGGTAAAGCTGGGAGGGCATTAGCCTCTTTGAGCCTTAGCTTCCTCATCTGTAGAGTGAAGTTCATGGGGCCGGCCAGTGAGAACACAGATGACCCACAGGCCTCTGCACCCTCATTTCCTGAGCTCCCAAGCAGGCCATACAAACTATTGTAGAGGGTCTGGAGTGGAGTCCAGGCAGGTGGGCCCTGGGAGAGCACAGGGCTTGGTGGCTCAGTGGTGGCTGGAGCCTGGTTTTCCCCAGCTGACTGTGTACGTCGATTCCCAGTTCCTGTCAGTGACTCATTAGTACCTTAAAAGAGGCCATCATGGGGCTTCCCTGGTGGCGCAGTGGTTGACAGTCCGCCTGCCGATGCAGGGGACGCAGGTTCGTGCCCCGGTCTGGGAAGATGCCACATGCCGCGGAGCGGCTGGGCCCGTGAGCCATGGCCGCTAAGCCTGCGCGTCCAGAGCCTGTGCCCCGCAACGGGAGAGGCCACAGCAGTGAGAGGCCCGCGTACAGCAAAACAAACAAACAAACAAAAACAGGCCATCATGGGAGCATTTTACTACAAAACTCTGGCAAAGGCCCCAAGTTAGGGCACCCCCAACCCTGGGCTGATTTGCAGTCTGACAGCTGGGAAGCTCCAACCTCCTCCCAGCTACCTCCGTGCCCTGCTCACCCCGCGGTGCCCTGGGCTCCACTGATGTGCTCTGCTTGGGGCTGGGAGATTCTAGTCTGGCAGATAGCCAGGTTGCCTGTGTGGCCACGCAAACTTCAACTTAGGATGTGCTGGCAGCTGCTGAAGGGCCTGCAGGAAAGCTGTAGAAGGCAGATGGGGAACCCAGTGTGCAGGGAGGCAGCCTTCCAGACCCAGCTGGCAGGGGTGTGTCTGGCTCCTTGCAGGGCTGACCTGGGCTGGAGGGTCTGTTGTATCCAGTGAGACTGGGAAGGCACCCCAGGCCTGCTGGACAGTAGGAAGGTGCCTTCAGCTTAGTCAGGAAGGGTGCTGGTACCAGGTGCTGTGAGGCCTGAGCGCCCACAGTACAGAAGGTGATGGGGAAACCCCAAGGATTTAGGGGTCCCGAGTCTGCCAGGAGAACCTCACCAGACAGAGGGCTTGGGTTAGGGTCCCCACTCTTCCATGCTGGGCATCCCAGCCCACATGGAGTCAGCCCAACATCCAGGGCAGATGCTAATGATGTGACTCCATCAGTAGGGCTCCAGGCGGTGGGGCCAGACAGCCCACGTTCAGCTCCACAAAAACATGGTACTTATCTGGGTCAGGTGGATCACTGGTAGCCCCACCTTATCTGACCCTGGGCAGGACCCTCTGAATCTGGATGATGGCCTAGGGCCAAGTCAGGTTTCTAGCCTGGGCTGGTTGGACTGGCAGAGGCTGTGTCTCTGTCAATGCAGATTCCCCAGGAGAGGCTGAGGCCAGGGTAAGAAGGATGGCAGGGGGTTGTCAGGAGGCCAGGAAGGTGGATGGGAGGCTCACTGGTGGTAGGAGGCAGGGTCCCTGGGGCTTGCTGGGCCTGACTGGACAGTGGCCCGCTGCTGGTGGTGCTGAACCTGGGAGGCCCCCAGATGGGAGGCAGCTCTGGGGCTGTCACTTCACTCCTGCAGAACAAGGACGAGACACTGGACACATAGCCTCTGCAGTCAGGGTGCCCCAGGTGAATGCTACTCTGGGCTGCAGGCCGGGAGCACCAAGGGACACTGTGTGGCCAGAGTTGGCACCAGGAGACTTGGTCTGCCCCACCTCCGCCAGTGACATGCTTTGTAAGTAGCTGGCTGGCAAGTGCCCTGTGCACAATAGGGGCTCGGTGGGACTTGTCCATGGCCCCTTGGAGGCAGGCTCCTGCCAGGCCTGGGAGAAGCCGTGGGCTGCAGGAACCCCTTGGGTTCTCAGGAGCTCGGCCTCCTCTTCTCTCTCCGGCTTCCTGGGGCTGGGCACTCCCCTCCAAGCCTCCCAGTGGGCATGGGGGACGCCTCTCTGGTGTACCTCTCCGTGCCCACCCAGCTCCTGCCACCTGAGGTAGATTGGAGTTAGAATGAAACTTGGGGTCATCTATTGCAGCTCTAAATCACCTCCTGGACAGGGTGGGGGGAGCCTGGCCCTTGGAATACAGGTAGGGACAATAAGCAAACTTCTCCCAAGGTTGCCAGTCCTCTTGATCCCTCGTATCCTGGAAGAGAGAGGGAGGATGCAACCCCGAGCCCACGTGTGAGCCTGAAAGGCAGCTTCAGGCTTCTTGTTCCCAGGCAGGCAGCAGCCACTATCCATGTGCACCTGGACCATGAGAGCTCAGGACTGCAGGAGGGGGTGGATTTGGCATGGAGGACACTGCTGGGCAGCACAAGTGAGTGTGACAAGGGGGAGGTAGAGGTGATGGGGAGAGGCCCCTGGACTGGCAGGGGCGATGGAGACTGTTTCACAAGCTCAAGGGGGATCCCTGGGGGTTTGGGCTGGAGAGACTAAGACTTCTGCTTCTACTGGGTGTCACTAATTCTTTACATTTCTATGACATTTTGACTGGGGGAGCCCTTTCAAATGTGTTCACTCCCTTCTCCTAGAATCATGGATGAGAGCTGAAATGGCCCCCAGAGGCTATTGGGGTCTAACCTCCCCACTGTATCAGTGGGGAAACTGAGGCCCAGAAAGGAAAAACATTGTTGCCCGCAGTCCCCAGGCAAGCCTGGCTGAGCGCACCAGCCAGGCTGAGAAGCAGGCTGGGGAGCAGGTGTGGGAGGAGGGAGTGAGGGGGGAGGCGAGGCGGCCGCCCCTCCCAGATGTGCAGTCAGCTGGCGGGGGTTGCTGAGGGGCGGGCTCCCTTTGTGCCTGCTCCAACACCCTGTGCAGCACCTCCAGTGAGGGCAAGAGGGCTTACCTGCCAGCAGTGGGAGACAGGACCAGAGGGCCACCAGATCCTCCCAGATCAGAGCTCTGGGGTCTCTGGGCCTGTTCCTTATGCGGGCAGCATAGGTAGGTGCTGGTAGTCCCCGGGGAGCGCTCTCAGGGGGATGGAGCAGACTGAAGCTGGCTGAGAGAGAAGGTGGGTGACCCTGGGAGATCCAGGGGTTAAGGAGGCCTTTCTGGGAGGGAGGGTCGTGGGGTAGTGGTGAGCTCAGGGATCCAGGAAACTGGCAGAGCTGCCACAGAAGGCCTGAGAAGCTGAGCCTGGGGGCCAACACAAGTGACTCAACTCTGAAAGTTCTCGGCTCCTCTGGAAGAAAAACAGACTGGGGTTGATCCCTGGCCCTCTGTTTCAGGTGGGAGAGGCAGGGCACGGTAGGTCGTCCTCAGGCTGATGCCTGGCCTGTGGGGAGGGCGTTGGGGAGCCGGGGGCTGAGGGCTGCCCCTGGGAATCTTCAGCTGTGCCCCTGCCAGTGGTCCACCTCCTCACGCGGCTTCTCCCTTGGCAGGTGCCACAGGAACTCTGAAGCTAAGCTGAGCCAAGATGCCGCCAGAGCCCCTGGAGAGGGCCTGTTTTCCGAAGACTCGGAGTTGGCTGTGAAAAGCCCTTGGGGAGGCCCCCCCCAACGGCAGGGACGCTCCTGGCTCCTGTGAAGGGGCTCAGGGCCTGGGCAGGCCAGCTGTGCTGCAGCTATGGACCGTGAGCTGGCCTGGCCTGCGTCCTTGCTGACCCTGCCCATCTGCAGCTGTGCCCAACATGGGCTCCTCGGTGTACATCATGGTGGAGCTGGCCATTGCCGTGCTGGCCATCCTGGGCAACGTGCTAGTGTGCTGGGCTGTGTGGCTGAACAGCAATCTGCAGAATGTCACCAACTACTTTGTGGTGTCCCTGGCGGCGGCCGACATCGCCGTGGGGGTCCTTGCCATCCCTTTTGCCATAACCATCAGCACGGGGTTCTGTGCCGCCTGCCACAGCTGCCTCTTCTTCGCCTGCTTCGTGCTAGTCCTCACGCAGAGTTCCATCTTCAGCCTCCTGGCCATCGCCATTGACCGCTACATCGCCATCCGCATCCCACTCCGGTGAGCCACGTTCTCTTGCCTGGTACACCTCATGCTGGGGGCCGCATCTGTGAAAAAGCTCCCTGTGTCAGGGTCTTGTCTGTGCCAGGATCAGGGTGAACCAGGGGTCAGGGTGAACTTGGGGTCAGGATTTGGTCTGGGGTCAGTCAGTGTGTTGAGCTGAGGACAGGGCCATGGGGCTCAGTCTGGGGCTGCCCAGGGCTTGGCACGTGGCCAGCACTTGTGCCACACCAGCTGATCCCTGTGGGCACAGGGCAGGCTGGTCCTTCCCAGGCTCCCCTGGGCTACATGGGTGAGGCTGCTGTGTTTTGGCTGTTGGCAGATGTGTGCAGCCCAGGCCTGGGTGGGTGCATCTGGGCCGTTCTTCACACAGCATGACAGTGGGGCAGGGTGGGCACCACGGGAAACCACAGGACCTGAGAGCTAGAAGCCCGCCCACCTACCCGCCTGCCTTCCTCCAGCTCCTCCAGGCCGGCCTGCAGCTTGCACATTAGGAAAATGACCCAGAGAGGGGAAGTGACTTGGTCAAATGCCTTCGTGAGTCACTTGGACCTCTATGCAAATTCTGTGCTGCTCAGTCACCAAGTGTTCATGGGGGACGGGGGCTGGCTGGCGGATGGGGGTTTTTATGGTGAAGCTTTTGTGAAATGACTTCAGCCATGTATTGTGTAAACAAAGACTTTCCCTGAGGCTGAGTTCACTTAAAGGCAGCCTCCACCTACCACCACCGACCCATGGACAGGGCTAGAAAGTGTGTCCCTCCCCGCCTGGGGGCCGGCCTGGGGGCCTTCTGCCCTACCTCCTCGCCCCTCCACCCTGGAGCTGGGTTCCACAGCCTAGATGGCTGCAGGCCCTGAGGGAGGTCTCAGAGGATGGTGTGCCCCCATCCAGTGGCGAACTCTCTGAACCACAGTAGTCCCACCAGCCCCACGCTGGGCTGAGGGTGCTCCAGCCAGGACAGGGAACAGGCTCAATGAGCAAATGGAAATATAGAGTGTCAAACCCAGGGGCACCCTTAGAGGTCATTTCCTCTCATCTTATGGATGGAAAAATGAGGCTCAGAGAAGGGAGTCAGCCCCCAGGGCTACCCAATGAGTTGGTAGCAGTTAGGATTGGGCCTAGGAAGAAACATGACTGCCACCCTCGGTGACTTCAGTCTTTTGGGAGCTGGTCATAGGGTGGCCCCTGTCTCCCAGAACCTGGGCCACCTGGGCTCTAAGGGAAAAGCAGACACCCTCATCATGCTGCTTAAATGAAGGAAGGAGCCTGGGCCCCGTGTGGCCCTCCCAGAATACTTTGTCTCGGGACAGCCTAGGACCCTTGTCAAAAGAAAAGGGGACTCTGGCTGGTCCTAATAGAGGACCAGCCTAAACGGGCAGAGCCAGAGTCCAGGCTCGACCAGGACACAGAGGCCTAAGGGCTCCCAGGCTGACTGACTGGTGTCCACTTTGGGGCCAGGCCAGTGTGGGCTGGGCCGGGCCGGCCCTGGCGGAATGTTCAGTGGGGAGCAGAGGTGTCGTTCTCAATTTCTTCCCTGATTCAAGGAGCAGTGGATTCGAGGGAGAGATCAGGGCTGCTGGTCTCAATCTAAAGGGCCTTCCTTGGCTTCTTTTTCTTGTCTCTGTTTTTCAAGAGTCAAAAGTCCCATTCTCCCTGATGCAAGAGGATGGGACATGCTGTGTGACTGTGGAAAGTCAGCTGCCTCTCTCTGGGCCCATTTTTCATCTATAAAAGGGGCCAAGTCTCTATCCCTCTGAGCTCACAAAGGTGTGCTGAGGGCCCAGTGAGTGGACTGGAGCGATAGGTCCCTGAGGAAGGATGGCAGGGTGGGGTGGAGATTCAGGTCTTTCTGAAGCTGCTGGAGGTTCAGAGCCATGGACCTGGCCCCCCCTCCCAACCCCATCTGCCTGCCCAACTCCCACAGTCTTCCAGAGCAGGACCTAGTTCCACCCAGACCTTGGCCATTTGAGCTCCACTTGATAGGGCTTAGAAGGGTCAGCCTGGCTGTCTTGGGTCAGGGAGCCAATGGGATGACGGTGGTGATGATGCTCAACCCCCTTTGGGGCAGAGAGCACCACGTTTGCCAGAGGATGTTGGCTCAGCATCTCCTTTGATCTCCTCGGCTGGCATTGTGGCCGGGCGGATGTTATGACCCTCCTGTTACTCATGGGGAGGCCAGAGCCAGAGAAGGAAAAGTGTCTCCGGACGCAGGGACTCCGGGGCCCTTCACCCTGCTCCAGGTCCCCTTGGGTCCCTCCACTTTCCTCTTCCTCAAGGGTACTGGGCTGGCGAGGGCTGGGAGAATGAGGTGTGTAAAGTTGTCCGTGTGGGGCTCCTGAGAGCAAGCTGGGCATGAGTGGGGACTAGATGGAGGCAGATAGTAACCCGGGGCAGCTCTGGGACTGCTGCCTGGCTCAGGGTGCCCATTCCTGCCCCCCTTCCTCTGTCCCCTTCCAGCTGGAATCCAGTCTCTCCTGTGTGCTGTTTCCTGATCCACTCAGTAAGTCCATTTGGCTAACCTGAAGTCTAGCCTCTGACCGATGCTCTGGATGCCTACTAGCTCCAGGCCTGCACCGTTCACCATTAACTTTTTTCTTTTTTTTTTTTTTTAAAGAATTCAGTTTCAGAAAAAGCTTATGTGCTCCTTCCCAAGTGCACGGACCCTACTGGGCTCGGGCAGGGCCTGGACAGAGGCAGGGATGGGAGCTCTCCGTGTCCCCAGAGGACAGAATTCCCAGGGTGACAAAGGCTTTCTTTTCCCAGGGGAATTCCACACCCCTTGTCTCCCATCTCTCACTTTAGCCCCTTCTGACTGCCCTCTCCCTTCGGGAAACAGGCTTTCTTATGGGGCAACAGAGTCCTGTGTGGTGAACTGCCCCAGGGAACAAAACCTGAGTACCCTGGCTTCTAAGAGGGCAGGATTGGGAGAGAGGACTCCCTGCAGGAGGTGACGCCATGGGTTGCTGGGGATGCGTTGGAATGGGCATTGGCGAGTGTGGGGGGAGGGGTAACAGAAGAGGGCCAAGCCTGGACAAAAGCCACAGGGAAGGAATAAGCATGTGGGCTCTGGGCCAGGGAGAGGTGACAGAGAGGAGCACAGACCTACAGGGAGGCTGTGAGGCTGGCTCAGGCCTTCCCATGCTTGGGAGGGAGTTTGGGTTTTAGCTGTAGGTCAGTGGCTCCTTTGGACAACTTAGGAAAGCTCCACCTTCTCCTGACTGAAGGGCAAATGCACGGGAAGCCCTGACCTGAATTGTGGGGGGTACTATTGGATCATAGGGTAAGCCCCCAATGTAAGTAATGGGGAGCCCCCAGGAAGGGGCAGCCTGTGAGCTGGAGGACACAGGGATGCAGAAACACCTCTAAACACGGGGGCTGTGGTTCTGGCACCAGCTTCCTATGACACTTCTGGGCTCCCCAGAACAGAAGAGCATGACCCTGGATGGCCTTGGCACCCCCTCCACCAGGCAGGCAGTCTATGTCTGAGGCCCAGGAGGGCAAGATGTGACTGCCTTAGCCACAGACACAGCTCAGGCGATGGGAGATGCTGCTGGGCCAGGCTGTGGCTTGGCCATGGTTCCATCTGGGCCCTAATGTTGATCCAGTCCCCTGGGAGCCTGGGTCCAGGGCTCTCAGCCTAAGAGGCTTTCTTTCGAATAACAAAATTAATCTGTTTGGTATCTTTTTAAAATAAATAATACCTGCATGTATTACAACATCAAAAAAGAACAAAAGCATATATGGTAAAGAACTGTCCCCCTTGCCCCACCTCAGCTCCCTTCCTGGAAGGCAGTGTTGGGAATCCTTCCAGATATCCTTTGCACACAGAGACAAGTGCTATCAATGTGTTTCTGTTTCTGTCCCCAGGACAGGAGGGGCTTTCTTTTCAGAATACAGTGGCAGACTTCCTCTCCTGGGTTTCCTCATCTAAATGTAGACAAGTGGACAAAACAGGAATTTTCAAACCATGTCCCCAGAAGCCTTCAGGCTGGGCCCTGGCTTCCCCCCCAGTTCATTCATTCAGTGAATATTATTAAGCTTCCTCTCTTCCTCGGTAGCTCCAATTCTGTGATTGCCTGGGAATGCAGGTGAGAAGCGTTACTGCTGGAGAACAATTTGAAAATCCCCAAAGCAGGTGGCCTCCAGGATCTTCTACACCATCCCTATTACTGCTTGCTTCTGCTTGACTGCCTCAAGTGACAGGAGCTTCACCACTGCCTGAGGCAGTCCATTTCTCCTGTGAATAGCTCATTTACCCTGAGCCACAATCCATCTCCCTATAATTTTCACCCAACAATTCTACAATCTGCCCTCATGGGACAGTGCTCACAAGCCCCAGATTCTTAGTCCCATTTTACAGATAGGGAAACTGAGGCTCAGAGAGGCAGAGTGACAACATGGCTAAACAAGAATGCACCATCGCTAGAACCCAGAGGGAATATCCTTTTCTTCAGAAAAATATCAACATTAAAATAGCCTCCTGGGACTTCCCTGGTGCCCAGCGGTTAAGACTCCGAGCTCACAATGCAGGGGGCCCAGGTTCAATCCCTGGTCAGGGAACTAGGTCCCACATGCCACAACTAAGAGCCTGCATGCCACAATGAAGATGCCGCATGCCGCAACTAAGACCCAGTGCAGCCAAATACATAAATATTTTAAAAATTAAAATAGCCTCTTATTCAATCAGATCATATTAAATTACTATGTGTAGAGTACTAAAAACAGTGCCTGGCACAGAGCAAGTGCTATATAAGTAATAAATGGAAAAAAAAAACAAACCTGTGACCTCACGTTTGAAGCTCCAGAACAGGAAATAGGGCAGTATAGGCTCTCTGTGGCTTGACAGAAATGGGCAAGTCCATGACCCTCTTCCTGCTGCAGGCACCCAAGCCCCCAGTGAATGGGGCCGCAGAGCTCGGGAGAACAGTTCTGCTAGGTTACTGTTTGGGTTCAGAAATGAGGAAGTTACCTTGGCCCGAGTTGCCTCTGGATTCCTGGAATGTCCAGGCAAGTCCATTCCTCTCCTTGGGGCTCAGTTTCTCCACCTATAAAACGAGAGGGTTGGAATAGACTAGAGGTCAGAGGCCACCGTGGTTTTTTTTCCCCTTAATTTGAATCAGTTGACAAAATTTAAACCATGGGAGATTTTACCCAGAAAAATCAGCTCCCAGACCCTCCTGAGATCTGGCAGCACTGGGCAAGTTTGCATAGTGGGGGTGGGGGAGGGGGGTGGCTGAGTGGTATCAGCTGCCTCCTGCACAGCAGCTGATAAATACCCACCAGCCTGCCTGCCTCACACGTTTGTAACCTCTAGGCCCCTGTGTTTGCTACCCCATGGACTAGTTTCTATGGATACTTCCAGCTCTGGAATTAAGCATGTTTTTCCTTGACACCTACTATGTCCTGTCTCAGTGATGGTAATGCAGCGATGGATATAGGGATCCAAGGGGCCCCCAGCCTTGGGAGCCCAGATTGGGTAGGGATTAGTTGAGCTTGGGTAGTAACTTCTCTGAGATCTATCTAACCTGAACTTAGAAAGGATGGGCAGGGCTTCCCTGGTGGCGCAATGGTTGAGAGTCCGCCTGCCGATGCAGGAGACACGGGTTCGTGCCCTGTTCCGGGAAGATCCCATATGCCGCGGAGCGGCTGGGCCCGGGAGCCACGGCCGCTGAGCCTGCGCGTCCACAGCCTGTGCTCCGCAACGGGAGAGGCCACAACAGTGAGAGGCCCGCATACCGCAAAAAAAAAAAAAAAAGAAAGAAAGGATGGGCAGGGTTTACTAGGTACAGAGGAAGGCAGTCTGGTGTTGCCGGAATCAAAACCGTTAAATGCAAAGTCATCCCTCAGAGATAACTGAGGTCACCTTCCTCAGTCAGGGAGATGATTTTTTGATTGCCCTTTCTTTTAATAAAACCTATACCACCCTTTTTTGTTGGCCTGAGGTCAGCTTCTGAGCCAGCAGATCAGGCCACTCCCCGAGTCTGGAACTGAGTCTGGTGCTCTAGAGTACTGAGTGATTTGGGGCAGACGACTACTCCTCTCTGGACCTTAGAATCTCATGCAACTCTTTCCTCTTGAATGTTAAGGCTTATATAAATGTTAAGACATACTGATCTCATCTCTCTCCAGAGGGCTGTGGGTGAATTTGGAAGGGAGAGAGGGTACCTCATTTGGCCCGGGACCTCCACCCCTCCTTTTCCCACCTGTACCACCTCTCCTTAGGGGCTTCTGGAGACCCTAAGTCAAGTGGGGAAGGAAGAGCATAAGCACGAGAGATGTGAACCACCTACAGGTTTGATCTGGCTGGTTTGGTTCCCAGCCAGCGAGTACCCTCCTGACCCGTTCCCACTCTAAATAAAGGGACACCCACTGTAGCATCGACTGAGATCAACATGGAGGTTATAACTTCTCCCCTCCTCGCACCCCCAGAATCACTTATTAATTCCTTCAAACCAAACTAATTAAGTCCCAAGACTACTTGTAATACTATTCAAAAATCATCTGGATGTCCGTGCAGTGGTCTCCCTTTCCAGGGTGCCTGCTCTCCTGTTACCTCCTGTGAGAAAAGCCCAGGCTTGGCCCTCCCCTGAACAGAAGAGGATACTGAGGCTAGGAGGCAGGAAGTGACTGGTCCAAGACCTCAAAGCCAGTGGATGAGGTACAGGTTGCTGCTCTGGGTTTCTGACTCTTGGCCCTTCCTAGCCCTGGTTTCCCAGGCCTCTGATGCTGGTCTCCTCTCCCCAGGTACAATGGCTTGGTGACAGGCACGAGGGCCAAGGGCATCATTGCAGTCTGCTGGGTGCTATCGTTTGCCATCGGCCTGACTCCCATGCTAGGCTGGAACAACTGCAGTCAGCAGGAGGGCAGAAACCACTCGCAGGGCTGCAGGGTGGGCCAGGTGGCCTGTCTCTTTGAGGACGTGGTCCCCATGAACTACATGGTGTACTACAACTTCTTTGCTTGTGTCCTGGTGCCCCTGCTGCTCATGCTGGGTGTCTACTTGCGGATCTTCCTGGCGGCCCGGCGACAGTTGAAGCAGATGGAGAGCCAGCCTCTGCCGGGGGAGCGAGCCCGGTCCACGCTGCAGAAGGAGGTCCATGCTGCCAAGTCGCTGGCCATCATCGTGGGGCTCTTCGCCCTCTGCTGGCTGCCCCTGCACATCATCAACTGCTTCACCTTCTTCTGTCCCAAGTGCAGCCACGCCCCACCCTGGCTCATGTACCTGACCATCATCCTCTCCCACACCAATTCCGTGGTGAATCCCTTCATCTATGCCTACCGCATCCGCGAGTTCCGCCAGACCTTCCGCAAGATCATTCGCAGCCACATCCTGAGGCAGCGGGAGCCCTTCAAAGCAGGTGGCACCAGTGCCCGGGCCCTGGCAGCTCACAGCAGCGACGCGGAGCAGATCAGCCTCCGCCTCAATGGCCACCCTCCCGGGGTGTGGGCCAATGGCAGTGCCCCCCAGCCTGAGCGGCGACCCAATGGCTACACCCTGGGGCTGTTGAGTGGAGGGAGTGCCCGTGAGTCCCACCGGGACATGGGCCTCCCAGACGTGGAGCTCCTCAGACAGGAGCTCAAGGGAGAGCGCCCAGAGTCCCTGGGCCTCGAGGGTCCCCAAGCCCAGGATGGAGCAGGAGTGTCCTGATGATCCACTGAGTCTGCCCCTTCCTAAGGGAAGGAAATCTTTCTCTTCCTGGTTGGTGGAACCAGTCACGTTGAGAGAAGAGTGCATGTGCCGGAGACCCTTCTCGTGGCCGGTTTCCACTTTGGACTGAGGAGGGAGCCCCGGCTGGAGCAGCATGAGGCCCAGAAGGAAGGGTTTGGAGTCCGAAGAAGTGGACGTTTCATGCTGGGCGGCCCTGCATCAGGCCAGAGCCCCAGCACGAGAGCATCTTGGCTGGCCAGGGCTGGTCCCCAACTCCAGAAGCACCTAGAAGTGCCACCTTGTCTCCGCAGAGCAGCTGTGGCAGAGCAGGTTGGCTGGCCTGAGGCTGGGGAGTGGTTCCAAAAGGCCCCCCTGCCACACACACACCACCCTCCCCAGACTTTCCAAGGATTCAGGAGCTACTGTGCTCAGAGGTGGCGTTTGACTATTTTTTCCAGGAGAAAATATAAGCGTGAGGAAACCCTTTTAATCTTCCCTCCCTGGTTGCTGGCTCTGTTTCAGCCCTGCTGCTAACCTGGCACCAGGAGTTGGCCCAGGGAGACCCAGGCAGCCCTCTCCCGCTGCCATGAGCTGCCATGCACATCTCCTTCGAGGACAGCAAGTTGTAATGGAGCCGTGCCAGAGCGTGGGCGCAGGGGAGGATGTCGGGGCTGGCCAGCATGGGTTAGCCTGGGGAGCTCAGAGCTGCCCAGGTAGAGGCCCTATCTAACTGCCTTTCCTTCTGAAGGGAATGTTTTTTTTTTTCTGAGATACAATAAAAATGAGCCACGTTGTGTTTTAAGCTTGTCCAATGAGAATGGTGTCTGAGTTCCTTTCCCTACTCCACAGCCAGGCCTGGCACACACATATGGGTATGTGTTGCAGGTGTGAGAGAGTGTGCACATATGTGCAGACAGCCTGCCTGCCTGGGGCCGTGATGGGGCTCCCAGGCTCCCATCTTCCTAGGGAAGAGGCTGCCTGGATACACCAAAATGCAAATGCCCATGTGCAGCCCCAAACCTGCATTCCTGTGAGAAGAGGATGTGAAAGGAGGGGGCCCTTTCTCTAGCTGCTCTCCCTCCAGAAGCCACAGACCCATCCAGCCCTAGGCATTCCCTCAGTGTGGGGACCAGGCTCCTCCCTCCCTCATTACCTTCCTAATGTCCTTTGTAGGTCTCCTTCTATGTTACCTTCTCAGAGCTGTTTCCTTCACTCCCCACTGCCCTGCTCCACCCCTCAGCTGAGAGGGGATCTAGAAATGATGAGGGGGTGGGGTGGGGGGCTAAACTGCCTTCCCCTGGAGTCATCCCTCCTCCTACTCCCACAAAGAAACGTACAAGGAATGGGTGTTTCCTGCTCTAATGCCGTCTCTGGGGCCCCCTGCCTAAGGAGGGGGTGCCACCCTTCTGTGCTGGAGAAGTCTGAGGCCCAGGGGAAGTGAGCAGCATGCCCCAGCCGGAGGGCCAGTCTTGGTCTGAAGTCTCGCAGGCACACTCAGGGCGAAGACGGGCAGGAATGTTAGAACTTCACAGGTAATCCTCACGCAGCCCTGGGAGCCCCATTTTACAGATGACTAAACAACAGAGAGACTAAACCACCTCTCTTGAACAGAGAGGTTAAGTACTTGCCCCAGTCACACAGCTAGTAAATGGCAGAAGTGAACTTAAAACCCAAGGTTTATCTGACAAAAAAATCCATGATTTTTTTTCCCATTAACTTAACGATGAACTATTTCAACCAAACCGAAAAATATGAAATAATACCATGTTCCCACTACTCTGCTCAAGAAACGAAACATGACAACCAACTCCTCCCCATATCATCACCCTGCTTCATGCACCTGGAAACAGCCACTTTCCTGGGTTTCATTTTGTTCCACTGCACATCTTTATACTTCTACTAGACAGATGTATATGTAAGTATCCCTAAACCAACACAGGTTTATTTTAGCAATATTTCACTGTCATATCTATCAGAGGTCCTCTGGACTGGCTGCACAGAAGAGACCTAGGACGCTCTAAAGAGCGCCGACGCCTGAGCCCTTACCCCAGAGATGCTGGGTGGACCCAGGCAGCAGCAATTCCCCAGGGGTTCTCATGGACAGTCAGGGTCAGAACCACTGACACAACCGCACAGCCCACCCCATCCACGCCAGCTCCCTCCACCCTCCTACACACTTTGGCCTGGGCTTGCTGTGGGCTGAGGGCAGAACAGTGGCCTGTTTTGTGCCTGAGGCGGCCAGGAGCACAGATGCTGTCAGTCCTCATGACCAATTGGTGGGAAGAGGCCACTAAGAGAACCACAAAGGTAGGTAAAGAAGAAATATCGTCTCTCCATCCTTTTTGAGGCCTCTTGGGAACAGAGCTTTGGGTGCTGGGCTACATGGTACAGGCTTTGGGTTGGGGAATAACAGGGACAGGGTCTTAGGAAACACTTTGGATACAACTGAGCCCTAGACCCTCGCAGGACCAGCCCGTAGGCCAGCTCTGGAGCCCAGGCCCACGTGATCATGCTTCCTTGGGTCCCCAGGGGGCCCAGTGTCCCATCACCACACACACCCTGTATAAGCTCCCACTGTGAGCCAGGCTCATGTGTAAGCACACATACACAGACACGAACAGATGCATGTGTCATTCCCTGACCACGAGAGAATACGCATGCAAATATACATGCGGGCAGAGCCCACCTCAACAGCAGCAGCAGCAGTGAGACATAAGGCCTGGCCCAGCCCTGTGGCAGCAGACGCGTGTCTGCCCTGGGCCAAGCTGTCGGGGGCAATACCAGGACTGCTCTAAGCCCTAAAGCTCTGTCCTAGGGCCCCTCTGCTCTCTCCTTGCTCTTCCCAAAGGGCTGGGGATGCACCACATGCCTCATGCAAGCCTGTCCCAAGCACAAGAGTTCCATCACAGAACCTGTCCGTGTGGTGGCCCCAGCCCCTCTCCATGGCGGTTGTGGCCAGGGTCCCCAGGGAAGCCTGTGAGCAGAGGCCTGGCTCAGGCCGCGTCCTGGCTCATCACTCGCCCCATGAGAGACAGGACCCCTACCTTTGCAAGCCTCCCCATTTGTGTTAAGGTCCTTTCCTCTGGGAGGACTTACATAAAACACTTTGGGCTCCTGGTGGGTGGGGTGGGCCAGCCTCAGTTTTGCACATACTGACCAGGGGACAAGCTCTGGAGACAAATCAAGGCAGCTCAGGGATGAAGGGAAGCCTGGGAAGTAGGAGGAAATGAGAGGCTGCCCCCTGGATCTACTGGGCTGGGTCTTGGTAACCCAGAGCTGGAAGTGGGCCTTCTTTGCAACTGTGGTAGAGAAACAGGAACCTGGGGGCTCGCAGAAGCCAACTGCTTAGGGAGTAGGAATGGCTCCATGCAGCCTGCCCTGATGCCCAGGGCCTAAATAAAGGCACGTCAGGATGGCACTCTGTGCCTAGAACGCACCCCTATCCTGTCATGTCACACAGGCTCCCGGCCAGTCCTGTGGGCTGCTGCCACGGTGAACACTCTTCCCCTAAGCTCCCAAAGCGCTTCCTGAGCATGCTGGGACACCGCTCTGCTGATGGGAGGTTACATTAGGGGGGAAGGAACTTGGGGAGACCTGAGATCTGCTGTGAGGCAAGTCACTCCCTCAGGGAATGAAAAAGCGCTCTGAAAAGTGGAGAGCACTCTATCAGAATGTCTGATTACCACAGCCCTCCCCTCCCCTCCTCTGTCCTAAGGCACCCCTCACTGCACTGTAACTCATCATTAGCAGTAACTGTCACTGTGGGGATAGCCCCTGTCAGGCTGCAGAGCCGGGAGCGGGGCGGGAGAATGTCAGATGACTCACAGCCTTAAAGGAGAAGGCTGGACACACAAAACACAGAGCCTGGGTGCAGAGTCACCTTCCTAGGTGCTCTGGCTCCACCCTTTCTTCTGCCAGAGGAGAAGGGGCAACTCAGCAGAGCTTCCCCACAAGCCCCCCTGCCCTGCCACTAGTCAGGCTTAGAGAGGGGCTGGGCTCGGGGAGAGGCCAGGCCAGGGTGTCAGCACAAGGCTAGGCAGGTGACAGGTGTGATGACCCAGTGTCCTCTGAGCGAAGAATTTTTTCCCACCAGTAGGAAAGGCTTGGTGCAGAACCATCCACACTTCTCTGCCTTGCCCAGGGAAGCGTGTGTGTATGTGTGGCGGGGGGGTGGGGGGAGAAAGAGGGATTGATTTTGCAGAATCAGCCTCTGGACTGGCACCTAATGACCAGTAAGCTCTCAGAGAGGGCTTGGGTAGGAAGGAGCAGACTAGAACTGGAGTCCCATCTCCTGACTTTTTGTTCCTCTCAACCACTTAATGAGAACCTGCTGGTGATGCTGGGCCTGGGGCAGCAGAGAGTGGGGTGCATGGGGTGTACAGGTGCCACCAATAGGGGCAGCAGGAGGTGAGGCCACCAGCAGGACACAGGCTCTGGTAGTGCAGTGGAGGAGCAGGTCTCACCCAATTGGGGAATCAGGCAGGTTGAAGTGAGTTAGTCTTCCCAAGGCCAACGGTCAAGTCCAGGGCTGTGTTTTCCAGGTGTTTGTTAGGAGATGTGAAGGAGAAGAAGCTGAGTAGACGTGCACCTGATTTACATCTGCCCACACAGGATTATGCCACCCATTTGCAGGCAATTTTCAAGTTAAAATGTTGTCAGAGGGTTGTCACAGTTTTGATCTTTCTTTTCTGTTCTTTCTCAATCCACCCACATTTTCTAGTTGGTTTAGAAAGGAGAGTGAGGGGGATAAAACCTGGTTTAGATTCAGATTTTTGGAAATGTTAGATGGGACTTTAAAAATTATGTAGTTTTCTCTTGGGAAAATTTAGGCCCAGAACCCAACATACATCACAATTGTTGTCTGCTGCAGAATCTTTAGGGGGACTAGAGAGACCAGGCCAGGCCTTCTGCAGTCATCCTCAGATGACTACCTCTGGGGTTTCAGCTTGACTCTCTTTCCTGCCTCATTCAGAGATGCCAAAAAATCCCTCTGCTTGCTCCTAAAACCACCACCCTGCTTCGCCGAGCTCTGAATGGGGGTCAGTACCAGGTTCAAACGGCCTTGCCACTGACTTCTTCTCT